GGACTATAGTTGTAAAAACAGATTCCAAGAGAATTAGATCACCTTTCCTGATAAGATCTTTTCATCTACCTCTCTCTCCCTCTGTCCAACTCTCTCTCTCTCTCTCTCTCTCTCTCTGTCACCTGTCATAAACTGCTCTTTTTCCATCAGCACGCTGAATGCCTGCATACTTTCGCTCTGCGCTCACTTTATGAAGCGTGCCATGCTCCAGCTCTCTCTCACACGCCGCTGGAAAGAGTGATGCTGATGGAGAGATATGATGAGGCCAGGCTGACAGGAGGAAAGACGTGCGCAGGCCAGCACAGGTAAAACTGATAGAGGGAAAAGAAACGGTCCAGCTGAGAAATCTCTCAACTGGATTTGATTGGATTATATTGATAGAATTTAAAATTAGACTTAAAAAGACACTGAATGCACAAATGTTGCTGTATTTCTTTACACAACAGAGGAACAGACAACAAAACATCAGCTTTGAGTCTTTACACTGGAAAACAGCCTGGGAGATTTTAATTTGGACAAAAAATAAAGGCATGCTGTATTAAATATTATTATAGTCGATTATAATCAATATTCCAAAATCAATGCAGTTTAATTACCACCTTCAAATCCTCTGAATGGGATAATATTCACATAATGTGGACAGTGAGTACACAGGTAAAGCAGGTGTTTCTAGTGGCCAGTCAGTGGAAGTGTAAAGGTGTTTCTAATAAAGTGGACACTACGTGGATGTGTAAAGTATGTGTTTCTAATGAGGGGACACAGTGGACGTGTAAAGTAGGTGTTTCTAATAAGGGAGAAACTGAGTGGACGTGTAAAGTAGGTGTTTCTAATAAGTGGAGAAACTGAGTGGACGTGAAAAGTAGGTGTTTGTAATAAAGAGGACACTGAGTGGACCTGTAAAGTAGGTGTTTCTAATAAGGGAGAAACTGAGTGGACGTGAAAAGTAGGTGTTTGTAATAAAGCGGACACTGAGTGGACCTGTAAAGTAGGTGTTTCTAATGAAGGGGACACTGAGTGGACCTGTAAAGTAGGTGTTTCTAATGAAGGGGACACTGAGTGGATGTGTAAAGTAGGTGTTTCTAATAAAGGGGACACTGAGTGGACATGTAAAGTAGGTGTTTGTAATAAAGTGGACACTGAGTGGATGTATAAAGTAGGTGTTTCTAATCAAGGGGACACTTAGTGGATGTGTAAAGTAGGTTTTTCTAATAAGGGAGACACTGAGTGGACGTGTAAAGTAGGTGTTTGTAATAAAGTGGACACTGAGTGGACGTGTAAAGTAGGTGTTTCTAATAAAGTGGACACTGAGTGGACATATAAAGCAAGTGTTTCTAATAAAACGGCCAGTAAGTGAACATGTGAAAAAGGTGTTTCTAATAAAGTGGCCAGTAAGTAGAAGTGTAGGTGTTTCTAATAAAGGGGACTCTAAGTTAATGTATAAAGCAAGTGTTTCTAATAAAGTGGCCAGTGAGTGGAACTGTAGGTGTTTCTAATAAAATGGACACTGAGTAAGCATGTTACATAGGTGTTTCTAATGAAGTGGACACTAAGTAAAAACGTAAAGTAGGTGTGAACATTTAAAGCAGAGTGTAAATATGTAGTGTACTAAGCGACCTTTCTGTTGGCTTTGGCACCAGATATCAAACAAAAGCACACATGTGAAAACACACACACACACACACACACACACACACACACAAACATGCAAATGTACAACCACACACAAACCCTTGAAACTCAATCTTTCCTTCTCACCCCTTCAGACTGAACAGACCAGTCAAGTAACCATGGTGATCTTCCCTTTCAGTTCCTACAGTAGTTTCACAGCACCTACAGGACATGCCCACCCTAATGACTGACAGCCTGTCTCTCATAAAGGACAATACAGTGTCGCTATGACAACGGGCACAGGCCCATCCCACTTAGGCTTAGCATTAGTTTCGGTTTGATGTGGTCATACCGACAGATATAAAAACAGAGAGAGAGAGAGAGAGAGAGAGAGAGAGAGAGACAGAGAGAGAGAGGTGGACAACACGCAGCACGTGCTTGCACACATTCAGATACAGATGGTGCAGATGCTGAACAGAAGTGAGGAAATGAAGGTTAGATCACACACACACACACACACACACACACACACACACACACACACACACACAGGATGTGGAGGAAAGGCTGAAGCCTGGCAGGGTGTGTGTGACACATTTCACAAGACAACACACACAAACATACTGGACTGTCACCGGTGGGGTACCCTCGTATTGCTGGTTACTCTCAAGGGTACATTTTCAGCATCTTTAGTTTGGGAACATAATTGTACCATATTCTGTTGATGTTGTTCTTAAGCTGCATTAACTCCATACACCTTGCCCTGACTCCAGGCTTATTATTTATTTTATTTATTTATTTACTTTATTTTAAGGAATAAACATTTTAAAAAGGTACCAATTTCCCCTTTTCACCCTGCGTATCCCACTGAAAACCCTTGTTTCTACGCTCATTGTCCATTTTATCAGCTCCACTTACTATATAGGTGCACTTTGTAGTTCTACAGTTACAGACTGTAGTCCATCTGTTTCTCTGATACTTTGTTAGCCCCCTTTTACCCTGTTCTTCAGTGGTCAGGACCCCATGGACCCTCACAGAGCAGGTACTATTTGGGTGGTGGATCATTCTCAGCACTGCAGTAACACTGACGTGGTGGTGGTGTGTTAGTGTGTGTTGCGCTGGTCTGAGTGGATCAGACACAGCAGTGTTGCTGGAGTCTTTAAACCCCTCAGTGTCACTGCTGGACTGAGAATAGTCCACCAACCAAAAACATCCAGCCAACAGCGTCCTGTGGGCAGCGTCCTGTGACCACCGATGAAGGACTAGACGATGACCAACACAAACTGTGCAGCAGCAGATGAGCTATCGTCTCTGACTTCACATCTACAAGGTGGACTGACAAGGTAGGAGTGTCTAATAGAGTGGACAGTGAGTGTTTAAAAACTCCAGCAGCACTGCTGTGTCTGATCCGCTCGTACCAGCACAACACACACTAACACACCACCACCACGTCAGTGTTACTGCAGTGCTGAGAATTATCCACCACCCAAATAGTACCTGCTCTGTGAGGGTCCATGGGGGTCCTGACCACTGAAGAACAGGGTAAAAGGGGGCTAACAAAGTATCAGAGAAACAGATGGACTACAGTCTGTAACTGTAGAACTACAAAGTGCACCTATATAGTAAGTGGAGCTGATTAAATGGACAGTGAGTGTAGAAACAAGGAGGTGGTCATAATGTTATGCCTGATTGGTGTAAAAACGAGGTCTATTCTGAACAGGATTACACTGAATGGTGTCTTTGAACCTTTTGAAGCTGGTTAGAACTGCTGTTTTGAGAACATCATATTAGATCACCTTCCCTAATATCATGAAAAAGGCATTATTTTTTCACTGTAAGCAACTACTAAAGTCTAAAGTGGCCAGGCTGGCCGGTCAGCTCTTGGTTCCTAGCCATCGATGTTTGCTAGCACTCAAATGATGACAGACAGAATTTGAGCTCAAATAAATAAACATTACTCACTGCTTCCCTCTGCTGATCTCAGTGCTGCAGTATTCACCTTAAACTAAAGGATGAAGACGCACCCAATTCACACTCTGTTTGCTGTGGCGTCAATATGTGATTGTCAAAGATAAAAATGTGGAAAATAATTGTTTTAGATTTGTTTACCATGTATTTGGTCACTGTATAGTTCTATATGTGGTATTTCAGTAAAGAAGACCCTTGGGTGTGGGTGTGTCCAAACTTTTGACTGGTACTGTCTAAGAAAGCAGAGCTTGTTCTTTCTCATGCACAGTTGCAGCTACAGCAGTGCTGTGATTGTGTTGTGGTTCAGTATCAGGTGTCGGCAGTATCAGCAACGCAACTATATACTTGGGTATTTTTACACTAATTATGCTATTTCAGACAAGAGTATAAAGTTATGACTCTAGTTATCAGTTTCCCAGACTCAGATTAAACCTAAGCCTAGACCAAAAAGTACTTTCAGTAGTGAATCACCATAAGGACTGCAATTTAGTCCAAGACTGAAGGGGAATTCCACCAATTTTCTGAACATTTCTGTATAATTTGATTGAGTAAACAGAGCCATTGAGAGTGGTTTGGTATAAAATGGTTAATTGTAAACAAACTTACCAACTTGGATCTCTTTACACTGATAGATATGATGGATATTCACTATGCAAAATAACAGTGAACTTATACAAGTTTTTAGAAATACTGTTTATGGTAAAATAGAAGTAAATCTGAAAAAGCAAGTTTCCTTTGGGGACTATTGTGTCTTACTACACCCTGCATGTACCTCTCCACTGTAAACAGATTATATAAAAATACAGTTTAGGCCAAAACTCTCTCTCAAAACTCCTCATATCACAAGGCATCAAGCTTATTTATAGCATTTCAGTCAATAACTTCCTTTTAGAGGCATTAAACTGTTCAGATATCTGGTTCCTATCAGCATCACTGTGAACATTCTCTAGAATGGAGCAAAATGCTTTGAATGACTTTGTTTACATCTTATCAACTGAACTGAGCAGAAATAAAAAATCAGTGGAATTCACCTTTAATCCTTTCCTGGAAACTGACACTAAATGTCCTTTAAAATGTCTCAGTGCTTCCATGACAAGTGACTGTAGATAACAGTTAACTGGGAGATAACAGTTTTAAATGCCAGTATACACACACATACAAACACACTACACACACACACAAAAGAGCTGTGACAGCAAATGTAAACAAAAGTTAAAATAGTGTAAAATTATCTCTATGTTTATCCCAGCAGGGGTTCATATTGGTGAACATCAATGGCCTTATGTCACTTTTAATGCATATTATAATCACAGTATAATCACAGTATAATCACAGTATGACGTTCTGTCCATTTCGCACAGCCCTGACGCTCAAACACACAAGAACAAACGCACTCCTGCACTTAAAGTGTAAAGTGGTCTTACTTGTTGTTGGTGCGTGTGTCCTGCAGGTCTCCAGGGTCGAACAGCTGAGAGCCCTTCAGTCCCAACTCCTCACAACCTCTCAGAAACAGCGCCAGGTTATCCTGCACACACACACACACACCCACGTTTAGTTCCCAGACCAAACGCTGAGACACACTCGCACAGTCTCTCCCTCTCTCTCCTTCTCTCTCTCTCTCGCTCTCGAAGAATGATAGAGGAAGCAAAGTGACGCCAGTGGTTTTGGCCACTCACAGGCTGCCCAGACTGAACAAATCTCTCCCTCTCCCTCTCTCTCTCTCTCTCTCTCTCTCTCTCACACTCTCTGCCACACTCTCTTCCTCTCAGCTCTCTGTCTTTGCCACCCTCTCCCTCTCTCAGCGCTCTCTCTCTCACTATCCGCCACTCTCTCTTCCTTTCAGCTCTCTCTCTCACATTCTACCACTCTCTTCCTCTCATTCTCACTCTCTACCACTCTCTCTCTCTCTCTCTCTCTCTCTCTCTCTCTCTCTCTATTTCCCTCTTGCTCTCTCAGTTTAATTTCATTTAGCTTTATCATGACTATCAAGCACAACATTGCTAAAGCGCACAGAGTGAATGTTTCACAGATTGATTGTTTGGAAATAAACATATTCAGTGACAGTGACTGCAACACATTTGTTTGGATGCTCTGGTCGTGTGGTCAAGCACTTTCTTTCACTCTGTGCCGTTCTTTCCTTCCTCTTCTCATTTTAGGTAATTCTATACTCTCTAATACTTTACCCACCTCTCAGGTGCAGTACATACACCTCTCTCTCTCTCTCTCTCTCTCTCTCTCGTTCTCTGAGCAGGTGTCTTTTGTTCCGACATGCAACCTGAGCCCCTCTCTCCTTCATTCTTTCCCTTCACTCCTCTTTGGTTCCCAGCTCTTCTGAAAAGGCCCCTGACTCCTCCCTCTCTCTCTCTCTCTCTCTCTCTCTCTCTCTCTCTCCCTTTCTGTTTTTTTTCTTTTAACTCTCTTTCTATTTTCACTCTCTCTTTTTCTGTTTTTATACTCTCTTTTACTCTTTTCTCTCTCTCTATTTCTACTTTCTTTTTCTGTTTTTATGCTCTTTTACTCTTTTCTCTCTCTATTTCTACTTTCTTTTTCTGTTTTTATACTCTCTTTCACTCTTTTCTCTTTCTCTATTTTTACTTTCTTTTTCTGTTTTTATGCTCTCTTTCAATCTTTTCTCTCTCTATATTTTTACTCTTTTTCTGTTTTTTTTGCTCTTTTACTCTCCTCTCTCTAATTTTTTACTCTCTCTATTTCCATTTTTATGCTCTCTTTCTAACTGCCCCCCCTAACTACTCTCTCTCTCTCTCTCTCTCTCTCTCTCTCTCTCTTCTCTCTCTCTCTCTCGCTCTCTCAGATCTGGAAGGGTGGCATGGTTTCCTTTCCCTTGCAATTGTTGTCACACTGTTGTTTTGGAATGATGGAGAGAGAGAGGGGGTGTTTCTTTTTTTTCCAAGTGAGAATAAGCAAGTGAAATTGAGAGAGAGAGAGAGAGAGAGAGGGGGAGAGAGAGAGATCCCCCTCCCCTCTGTGCTGGGCCCAGGCTTTCTTCCTGTTCGTTTGTATGCGTTCTGTTATACTTTCCCAGGAGACGGAACCCCACCCAGAACGAACCCCACCAACCCGGTGCTTTCTGACGGGTCAGGGTGACACCCACTTCTAACGCCTTAGAAAGAGCCAGCGGGCATTTACTAGCTCTCTCACTCTCTAGGACACTCACACACTTACACATTCATTTAAACGTACTGCCCTTAAAGAAAAGACATAAATGTCCTTTTTTACTTTATGACGTGATCACATCATTTAATATGAACTGTGCAAAAAACGTGTTTATTCACAGGTGAAACTCATGTGATTTTAGACAAGTTTAGACTGTCTGACTTATGAAATATGAAATGTCTTTGACCTCTGCCCACAGCAACAAATAGTGGATTAATGAGTCAAATAGTCAACTGGTCTATGAAGTCTATGCATATATACGCACACACCACACACATGCACACAGACACATACATCTGTACACCCAACCACACCAACCACACTCAAGACAGACCCAGTAAAGACACCCAGAATCCAATGCAAGATTTAAAATTATAAACTCTTTGAAAATGAAAGGCTAGCTAAGCAGCCCAACACAGCTCATTAGACATCTGCACTGCTTCACAATCAGAGTGGAGGAATCAGTGATGAAGGTGAAACAAACGCTCCATTGACTGGACCAGTGTGTGCATCGTCCTGGTGTAAGTTACACACATCACATTCCCGAACACGGCTCAGTTTTTTTGGGGGGCAGAAGTGGAATTTTACTTTGGAATGAGAAAAGACTGAAGAGGCACAATAGAGGAGACTCATATGGACCGGCTAAAATACATTAACTGGCCACTTTATTAGAAACCCCTGCCTTGCTGGTGCACAGTTAAGAGCCTGTGGCCGATCTGTTGATACAGAGTTTGTGGGGCAGAGGGTGGCTGAAAAACTGCACAGCAACAAACGGGCTACAGTGTGTAACTGTACACCAGTGTAGTGACTTATAGACAGTACTCGACTGATGTCACTTGTCACCGTTGCCTGTTGTTAATGTACCACTGGTCAACGCAGTGATGAGCGGCAACTCAGTAGTAGAGCTACCGTTTGAACCCTGATAGTTATTGAAGCATCCTGAGATAAAATATAGCCATGGTGTGCTGCGTGATTCACAGTTGTAGCAACAACAGCGACAACAAAACAAACTAGTGTGAGCTTTTGTAGTATTTCCAAAGTCGTGAGGGGAAGGAGGCTGAAGAGCTGAGCCAGAGAAGGGGAGATGTTTGGATAGCAAGAATAAACAGGAAAAAACACCGCTCTGTCACAGGCAGACAGTTGGGTGATATAAAAATAATAAATAAAAAAGTAGAACTCAGATCTCAGTTATTCAGTTTTAGTCCATAGGTAGAGTTTTAGTCCATACCCAGAGCCTTGTTTAAGCCACACTCCTGTATTTTAGAGCAGGAAGTGAGACTGCGTCCCTGTCCCTATTAGCCAAATGGTAAGCAGTTATATCCCATTGTTTTGAAGTAAATATGTCGTAAACTGTCACTACTAAAACACATTTTATGCAATCATCAACTTTGATCAACTTTTTTGTGTTTAAATAAAAACTTTATGATTATATGTGTTCATGTACTGGCCAGTGTTTTTGGGTTCTGCTCAAGGTTAGCTAAAACTGGCCCAGAAATTCTACAATGGTGAATCCCTGTCAAGAGCATTATAAAAAATAGCTTTTAGGAAACGGAAATGAATCCAGTTTCAGCCTAAATCCTTCACCTCTTCTCCTCTCTCCCCCCAACACAACACACACTGCCAAACACAACAGCCAGCAAACACACCAGGAGCTGACAGCAGCAAAACAGCCATCAGCAAGCAGAGAGAGAGAGAGAGAGAGAGAGAGAGAGAGAGAGAGAGAGAGAGAGAAAGCGAGAACAATAAACACACATCCATCTCCTACAGCCGAGTTTCACTTTCTCAAAATGAAAACAAAACTCAAAACGATTCCACCACACACTTTGAATCAAAGCATCAAAGCATAAATCTGCCATTTATATATTTTTACAGTACCACCGTGGTCAGTTATATCACCGAATCAAACTAATGCAGCATTTTTTATTTATCAAATATGTATTTTTTCAGAATTTGAGGGGTATTTTCTTGCATGAATAACAGTAACAAAGCACACATCGTTAGGAGACGCTACTCTGTCTGTCTTATATTTCTGCTCATTCTCAAATCTTCATTGAAATGGATGGATTTACATTATTCGCATTTAACAAACAGGTCAAACAACTGATTTATACTCATATAGTTGTGTGCAAACGTTGGGACACTCCTGATCAAATGACATGTTTTGTTGATTTTCTCAGTGAAAGTAATTTGACACACCCTCTACAGAGAACACACTCCGGCACATTTTAACGCACAATTAATGTTTATTTGCTGGAGAAAATATTAAAAATACAATGTGGCCTGTGCAAAAGTTATGCCACATTTTACACAATATGGTTTTACAATGTTAAACTTAGTGAATAGCGAGAAAACATACACTGAAATTTGCAGAAAAATGTATTGGGATGTGTTCATTTACTCACTCAACAAAACTTCAAATCAAACTTTTGCATACAATTCACTCTCATTCTCACTCGCTCACTCACTCACTGAAAACTTTGCTTTGAACATGTGTAAACAAGAGTTTTTGTCAGCTAACAGTGGGGAAAGGAACAGAGTGTGTACAACATGACCCAGCAGGAAAACATCTTTTGGACATGAGCAAAGATAGAAGGCCAAGTAAAGCAAATCTCCTCCCTAATACCAAGCCTCCTCAGCGCGCTCCTCCACCGAGCCATTTACAAACATCTCACGGTTTGTTGTCATTATTGTGAAGTTTGAGATGAGATACCGACTCAAAATAAACAACATCTTTTAAAAGATCTAACTGAAGATGAAATATGTAAGCAGTTTTTTTAATATTTTGCAAACCATCTACTAACAACCAATACATGTTTTATGGACATCTAGTTTGGCACATGCAGTAATGTAACACGGTCTTTGCCTAACAGTCCCTTACTGAGCCGTTTTAAGTTGCAAAGCACTTCATGTACCAGACTCCCTCACTCCCTTACATACTCACTCATTCACTGGATCACTCACAAACACTCTCACTCACTCACTCATTCACATACTCCCTCAATCATTCACATACTCCCTCACTCCCTTACATACTCACTCATTCACTCGATCACTCACATACTCACTCACTCGCATTCTCACTCACACACTCACTCATTCACATACTCCCTCACTCCCTTACATACTCACTCATTCACTCGATCACTCACATACTCACTCACATTCTCACTCACTCACTCATTCACATACTCCCTCAATCATTCACATACTCCCTCACTCCCTTACATACTCACTCATTCACTCGATCACTCACATACTCACTCACTCACATTCTCACTCACTCATTCACATACTCCCTCACTCCCTTACATACTCACTCATCACTCGATCACTCCATACTCACTCACATTCTCACTCACTCATCATTCACATACTCCCTCAATCATTCACATACTCTTTCACTCCTTTACATACTCACTCATTCACTCGATCACTCACATACTCACTCACTCACATTCTCACTCACTCATTCA